CACTGAAAATTAAATGTTTAGAAAATAAAATTTGAATATCCAACCAAATGGGAAGCCAACATTTGAATGCACTGAAAATTGAATGTTTAGAAAATAAAATTTGAATATGCAATCAAATGGCAAGCCAACATTCGAATGCGCAGATAATCGAATTTTTTAGAAAATAAAATTTGAATATCCAATCAAATGGGAAGCCAACATTTGAATGCTCCGAAAATTGAATGTTCAGAAAAAATTGAATATCCAATCAAATGGGAAGCCAACATTTGAATGCACTGAAAATCGAATTTTTAGAAAATAAAATTTGAATATCCAATCAAACGGGAAGTCAACATTTGAATGCACTAGAAATTGAATGTTTAGAAAAAAATTTGAATATCCAATCAAATGGGAAGCCAACATTTGAATGCACTAAAATTGAATGTTTAGAAAATAAAATTTGAATATCCAATCAAATGGGAAGCCAACATTTGAATGCACCGAAAATTAAATGTTTAGAAAATATAATTTGAATATGCAATCTGGGAAGCCAACATTTGAATGCACTGAAAATTGAATGTTTAGAAAATAAAATTTGAATATGCAATCAAATGGCAAGCCAACATTTGAATGCACTGATGATTGAATTTTTAGAAAATAAAATTTGAATATCCAATCAAATGGGAAGCCAACATTTGAATGCACTGAAAATTGAATGTTTAGAAAATGCAAACAATCACAAATATTTATTATAATCCTAATAAGACTTTAAAGAATGAAGAATATCATATTTTCTGTGTAAGAAACGCATGACAATATATACATAGATAATATTTGGTAATTGTAATTGTGACTATTAAAAATAGCTAGACGTTTAAAGCAATGAAGAAAATGTTTAATTGATAGAAAGAATGTAAGAAAACTATAAAATGGAATCACTAAAATGTTAATACATAAAGTTCTCAAATATTGTACAGAACTGGATCTACAAGCTTTTCTCTTTAAACTAAAGGGCAGTATTCGTTGTGCCACGTCCTGTTCAATATGAGACTCATAGCGACGTATACAACGCTTGTAAAATACATTGTTTATTATTTAAATGAAATTCAAACATGCGCTACGCGACGACCACCACGCTTTAATCCCAGGGTATTAAATATTTTCATGTCAAACCTCCATTTTGAGCATACTCGCTGGGGTTCAAATTTAAATTACCGGTAACATGGATTTATTAATTTAAAATATTTGACAGTGAACATAGAGAAACCCAGTGAATAATTACCTGTGCTCTTACAGTAATCGATTTCACTAAGATTGATCATGCTCTTGAACTACAGTGAGCAGGTGGCAAATCATGTTGGTTCGGATCACACAAGAGAATTCAGAGAGCCAAGGCCAAGTTCAACCCTCAAAGTCTATCCCAGCTGCACATAATGTTGTTTGAGTGAGGTATATAAAAAATGGTCACAATGAGACACACTGAGACACACTGACAACCAGAACATCATATGCTGCCCATGATTTATAAAGTTAAAAATTTACATCACATTCACATTCTAACATCTGGTATTAGAGGATGTTACTTCAAATTAATAGATAATTGCAGCGAAAAAAATGAATAGCTATAGAGACTCCAGGATTGATGAATCAAGAGATTTCAATTAAACATTGAACACTTTTAATTATCGCTAACTGATCAAACATCTGCCGATCAGGAAGTATCCATTTAACAATTCAAGTGGAGAAGATCAGTTGTACCCGTGCGGCAGATGAAAGTGAAATCTGACGAAATTAATACAATTAAAGGGATCAATCGATGGCAGGGAGGAAGGTTATTACAATAGTAACGGCAGATCACTGTGGTGATCAGGATGGACATCTTGAAGGGATGTCATCCTCGACAGTCTTGAAGACGTGTCACGTCTTTCCTGTTTCCTGCATACCTACTGTAATTGCTTTTTCTGAAGTGCACGATCATACGTAAAGGTGTTAACAATGAACCGGGTAATTCAGGTAACAATTAGGTACTTCTAGTTGGACTTTATGCAGTTATAAAGTTATAGGTTCGGTGATATTTTCATGTCATCAAATCTTTTTTTTTGGATTTCATAAATGATAGCCTGTTAAGTCATATCTCTATCTTCCTTGGTGCCGTCCTTTTAGGGCAAGCTTTCATTCTGCAGTAATTTTTTTCTTGATGTGACAGTTAATACTGTGATTGGTTAATTCCCTTCGATTGGAAGCCATATAACCTAACCCAAAATGCTCTGATTACTCATAGTAACCAAGGGATTAAAAACCCCAGCTGGAAGCTACAGGATACATTTTCAGATGATCTCCACACCTGCACAAGTAATTATTAAAATGACTGTCATCGACATGAATCACCCTACATGTACAGCAAACATCATGTGTGCATCTGTCATTCTCTGATATCGTCAACGTTTTAGCTTTATTCCAAGAAATGACTCAAAACAAACAAACCATGTTGAGACTGTGAAAAGACACTGTAATTATGTGCCAAATCGACACAAAAACGAATTTAGAAAATTTTTATTTAAAGTCACCCCAACCATCTGAATATTTGATCAATTGAATACCTGTAATTTTATAACATGTACAAAACAAGTATGGTGATTCAACGCAGATTTGCATGATTCCAATACATTGACTCGCATAATTTGTTCTATTGTCATCCAGGTACAGATGATATCCCTAGCACTGTTTTATCAACCGACATGCTGAGTGGCCGTAAGCAGTATTTTATTAATTCAAGTAATGAAAAATAAAGTTTCTGTTATGTGCGTTCTGGTAAATCAAAAAAATATAATATTTACGAAGAATACTTAGTATTATCAATGTGTTATGGAGCAGCTCATCACTGTCATATGAAACTAGAGGACAATTAATCAGTCAAAGTGATTCATAATGTACGACAAGAGAAATGACAAGTTGAATAATGAGTATCAACTATACCTTTGCCACTGTATCAATATCCCAAGGAAGTATAGTCTGTAAATCAATCAATTCACAGGAAACACCAAGTTTCTCCTGCGCTAGGTTCACAACCTCCCTCAGAACGTGCACCTGTGTTCCCCAGGCAACTAATGTTACATCATTTCCTGGTGTGAATCAGACATGAAAAACAAATTTGTTTTGGGTTTTACATACACAGTAGTGACAACGAAAGATGAAATGTGATGCATGTATAAGCAAATGTAACTTTGATGTCCAATATCCTTAGTAGTCGACAGATTACATGCATCAGTTTGCACATTTCATCAAAATATACATCAAAGACGACAAATTAAGACATTAGCTACAACTTGACATCAATTTTAAGTAGCTGAAATGATAGAATAAAATAAGACATCGATTTAACAAAAATCAGGTGGTTGAACTACTAATGGGGTCTACGGTATTTACCTTCCACTAAGACCTCTGCTTCGGAAAGAGGAAGGGTGTAATCTTTGATGGGTACTTGTTCAACTGAAAACAAATAATACATGACTCAATTTATCAGTACAGTGGTTAGTCAACAATAACTAAGTATGAATATCATTTGGTTTGTGATGCTAGTTTGTGATGATTATTGTGAAAGAATTAATTTACTAATTAATTTAGGATTTTTAAGTGAATTTATTTTTAATTTACATGTTCACATGGATATAATTTTAATAGTTCAGTTATCAGCAAAATGAAAAGCCAACAATAAACAATGCGTTCACAGTAATTATTTCATTTTTAATTGCATTTATGGAACAACTAAGAGAAGTGGTACCAACAATATTATCAATACTGAGTCTGATTTGAGCAGAAAATTCAAATTTTCACTACTGAGCATAGACACATTGCAGGCACACTTTATGATTGGCAGAATTGCGTTCAATTCTGGTAAACTAACCCACAATTCACTATAATCTGGAAATGTAATAAGGTCCATATTATTTATTTATTTATTTATTTATTTATTTATTTATTTATTTATTTATTTATTTATTTATTTATTGCTTCCCTTTTGTAACAGGGGCTCACTATGTAAATTAGGAGCTGCACCAAATAAAAATACATTTTACTCAAAGACTAATGAAAAAATTTTTGATGGACAAAAAGAAATTAAGTTACATGAACTAAGATAACAAAATATAACAACAAAAAACATCTAAAAGTAGCAAAAAAATATGAAAACTAAAATATAAGTATCAATTTCGTCACACAGGACTGAATTATACTGCCTTGTACTGTCACCCAGGATTAAACATAGCACTTCTTTGTTTGCTATGAAGTCTTTATGTAAATTTATTTCATTTTTGTTACATAGGAGCATTTCAATCCCTTCCATTAGAGTTTTTCTCTGTGCTGAGAAACATTCACAATGTAATATGAAATGCTCCAGTGTTTCAGGTTCCTTTTTGCAACATGGACAGATACAATCATTATTATCCAATTTTGCCCATTTCCTTTTCTCACATGCCAAACCAAGAGTGCAAGATCTTGCCTTGAATTTTAATTGGGTGCCCTTGAAGTTAGATAAAGAATTTTAATATTTCTCACAATATTTTAAATTTGTTTTAAATTTTCTATAATGAACGAGACTTGATTTCTCTGCCATTTTTTGTTTCCATTGAATCTCGTCACTTTTTACAATCAAATTTTTAATATTTCTTTCAGACAGATTAGTGAATTGACTTTTGTTTATCTTTATATTTCTTTCTATATCTTCAATGCTATTTAGCCATGGCCAGGTCTTAATCAGATTATTCTCTTATTACTGTACACATTGTATACAAAGGGAAAGTAATTTTCACACTAGGAACTCAATAATCAAATGTCACTTATATCAATGATATAATACTGTTCCCCCATGGCACTGAGCAAAATTTTGTGATGTGAAGAAATAATTTCACCATGGCAACCAGTGAAAAAATACAATTTTTTTTAATTGCCTATGACATTCTGATGCACATCTCTTTCAACATCTGAATGGCAATAGTCAATGATAAAGACAGCATAAAGACGATGACCTAATTCAGCTTGAACCTTAATAAAAAAAATCAAATATTCGTGCTTGGTGTCCACCTGTCAGTTTGTTCACATGGGTCAAAAGGCTTACTTTTAAGGCTGTAGCTCAAGAGCTAATAGTTAGCAATGCACTAACCATAGCTAGTTTTACCCTAAAGTTAGCCAGCCTAATAGCAGTACAAAATTCGCATTAAAAAACAGAAATGGGACTAGACACAAGTTCATAAACAGTTCAATTTACAACACAAATACTAGAATGTATCGCATTTAATCATTTCTAATTTCAACTACCAGTACAAAATCTAATCATTTTATTTAATTTTATCTAATTTGATAATGCATATCGCATATTAATGACATGTGTGGATATCTCCCAGGTGTTCAGAGTACATTTAACAGGTGAATAGGTAAAAGGACAACGACATATCCTCTATTAGAACAGCTTAAACAGAAATTTAAGCTGAAAATGTATTTTTCATACCAGTTGACATGCAGCCTAGAATCAGAGACCTCTATAATTAATGCCTAGACACATGGGTCAATGACTGGTTGATGAGAAATGCAGTCATTACGAGCAGTGCCTGCCTTCCTTATTAACAGTAAAATCAGCCCATAGTATTTAACGCTTGAATAACTACGACCGTTGTCATGGCAGCAAATAGTATGTGACATTTGACAGCCAATATGATCCTGGATATAAAACATTAATTTACTGAAACGCTCAGAATACATGTGTTAACTATCTGAAGACTTACGAGCTGATCTGTACAAGATTTTCGGTTCAAAAAAGATGCATGGATTTTGATCACGTATGCAGGAGAGTAGCAGACCTTTGGCTTGGATTGGACCTCTTGGGATGACCACCTACAACAAAACATAGTCAAACTATTAGTTTTGGCACACTTGTTGAAAGCCCTTTACATTTAAATTGAGCCAAAAACACAAATATTTTGCAGTTTATCAACTATAATAAATCTTGTTGCACCATAACTGTTGCATTTATGATATGACACCTGTCGAAGGTTTCCAACAAAAAAATGGCAAAACAACTTTTTTTGTATGTTACGGTACCTTCAAAACCAGGCAAGCAGAATACATAAAATGAAATTTACGTTGTGCATATCACATAGATTTTTTTTATTAACATGGATCAAACAAATCGGTGATATTTTTTTCCTGTAAGTTGGTCACACTAACTATTATGTAATGCTGTACAGTTCATGTTTTTTTAATTAGTTCTGTTGACATACTAGCAACAGTTTTATTTGATCAGTCACATGATTTGGTAGCCATCTTGGATTTTTAGCAAAATTGGCCACAATTTCGGGCATGTGCATCTCATGAATGCTTTAACCGATCAACTTGCTATTTTGATTGTAAAATGTACGAACAAAGCAACTTCTGAGAACAATTAAATATACATCAATATTAGGTACATATTCAGGCATATTAATTTTTCAAACCAGGACCCAACAAAGCTGCTCTGCAACTTTAATTTTACATTTACATTGTTTGGAAATAATTTTCTGAAACAAAATAAAAACATGTTCTCAGGATACGCAATAAACATCTCCTCATCTCACCATATGTGGCGCCCTTCTTTGATACATGAAATTGTAACAACAAAATATGAAATATGCTGGTACTCAACAAATATTTTTTTGCCAGACAAGCTATTCGTTTTACAGACGTTCTTTAGCATATATATTCATATTCATAAAATTACAAAATATCTTCATCTAACCAAGAGGTTATATGAAAATTAGGATAATATTTTTTTTATAGTATTTTGTTCTTAAAAAGTGTTCATACAAGGTATGGGGTTTTCTTAAAGTGAAAAAGTCCTTGAATGAGTAGAAGCACAATATTGCAGAGATTACGGTAAGGTAATATTGTAAGCGTTTGTTTATATGACTAACAGCCAGCCAGAATATCAGCAATTTATATACACCTGCGTTGATTCTCATACCCTACACGATGCAAGATTCGTTATCTATAAATTAAAGACTTATCACCTCGTACTGACACTTAGCATGGTTGATTTTTGTGACTCGCTCTGCAGTGGATGGTTAAGAGGTCATACAAGGTTCATTCCTACGAATACACCGTTCTCGTGAGTTCAACGTACTGTAAACTTGTTAATTTTTGCTAATAGAAATTTTCACATTATGGTGAATTTATGGCATATACGTGAAAACAAAATTTCAGCGAAATCAGTGATATATTATGTTGTTCATTGGCAATCAACGATTTTTCAACTCCTAGGGACAACACACAAATTACAAAATCATTGTTATGTTGGAATTAGATTGCAAAAATGCATGAAAGATTTAAGTCTGGCATTTGGTGTACTGCACATGGCATGTACTTCAGACACATATTGCTACTCAAAAGTCAAAATGATTTTAAAATTTTATATATTTCAGACGACCATATACAGTAAAACCTGTCAAAACCGACCATGACTGGGACTGGGATCTATGGTCGGTTTTCAGAGGGAGTCGGTTTATTCAGGGTGGGCATAACTTCGATTGAAACAACAATTACATGTGCTGTAAACACGGGACAAATGAAAGACACCGGAGTTTGCCTCCGGTGATTATACATGTATTTACATTTATTGTATTGTTTCAATAAAATAATTTACCAAACAAGACAAGAATATTATGGTATGTACATGTACATGAAATCAATAAACATTAAAATAACTGTTGGAACAGACCGGGTAAGTATCGCGTATCGTAACTGAAGGCGTCCATTTTGAATGACATCACAACGTAAGTTCACGTGAGCTACATGTAATTATTATAATTTATGCAGACAGTTGATTTTGCTGTTAAGTCAATGAATCAAATTACGATGTAAAAAAATCATCAAGTTTTCACCGCTTTAAAGAACATCTTTTTTCAACGATTTTGTTCGTTCGAATTATGAAATTTTGGATATCTGTCAAGTAGCTGGAGTCTTTGTTTATTGCGAAGTTTTGTAATCTTGTTAACATGTCTAGCACATCGCCATGCGTCAAGTCACGGTCATCGTGGGGGTCAATAATTTGACTATCGTTGTCTGTAGATTCATGGTTTTCTTTGTCTGCAATAAAATTCTCAACAATCTGTTGCTCCCACTCGCCGTCATACATTGCTTCAGTCGGTATACGTTCATCAAAGTGGAGGTATTCTACAACGCTACACTGTGTTTGCAGCTCTGCAACATGCTAAATAAGGTTTCCGAATTCTTTGTCATCGTCTGCTTCTTCGTCATCATAAATTTTAATCTTGAAGCCCCCTTCATGGAAACATTCGAAAGCACAAAATTGTCGATCAGAATCGTTATGGAAAGAAGAAAACTCAATGTTTTGATCGTTGAAGAAGTGATAATGCAGTGTGCTTCACCGCAATTGAAGTTGATGACCCCGATCATTTGTTTATATCCGGGGTCATTACACTGTCCAGACATCACGCGATGCGATGGCGTGTGGTGTGAAAAACTTAATCAGTTGCTATTGTTTTACACGGGACGTTACTTGTAGTGTGAGATTTGATATTGTTTCTGTGACGTTCACGGTAAATTCAACACAATGCACACTTTTTAGGTCGGGCAGATCGGATTACTAGACAGCGGATGTGGTGCAACTGGTCGGATGGTCGATGTATTCAGTGTGAATATTGGACTTGGGGCCGATCAATGCGGTCGGTGTTCGGAGTAGACAGTGGTCGGATTTCACAGGTTGTTTTAACATAGGCGTCTATGGAGAAATTTCGGGACTACATAAATCGGTCGGTTCTGACAGTAGGTCGGTTTATCCAGGGGTCGGTTTTGACAGGTTTTACTGTATAGTAAAGTGACCTCATTAATAAGCATAACTGTCATATCTCAAGTACTGTTGCTGACCAAGGGAAGGGACAAATGATATGACTGAAATTTTGGATGACTATATACATGTATGGTCATATCTCAAGCACTGTTGTAGTTAGAACACATTTTTAGAGAAACTGGATGAACATATCATTATGGTCATTGCACAGAACAAAACAAACAACGTCTTTTACTCGCATTATGCTGTACAACGATCATGATGTGCAATGATGATCATAATCTTATTTTTTGGTTGTCAAACACATTTACAACATTGCCAGGGAAATATACATACATTGAGTGAAAATATGATGCTCAGAGATTATCTTCCATCAAATATGTTAATTTTACTCACTACCAAATATGTTAATTTTACTCACTATCAAATAAAGTTAACTTTACTCACTATCAAATATGTTAATTTTACTCACTACCAAATATGCTAATTTCACTCACTACCAAATATGTTAATTTTACTCACTACCAAATATGCTAATTTTACTCACTACCAATTGTGCTAATTTCACTCACTGCCAAATATGCTAATTTCACTCACTGCTAAATATGCTAATTTTACTCACTACAAAATATGCTAATTTCACTCACTACCAAATATGCTAATTTCACTCACTACCAAATATGCTAATTTCACTCACTACCAAATATGCTAATTTCACTCACTGCTAAATATGCTAATTTTACTCACTACAAAATATGCTAATTTCACTCACTACCAAATATGCTAATTTCACTCACTGCTAAATATGCTAATTTTACTCACTACAAAATATGCTAATTTCACTCACTACCAAATATGCTAATTTCACTCACTGCCAAATATGCTAATTTCACATACTGCTAAATATGCTAATTTTACTCACTACCAAATATGCTAACTTTACTCACTACCAAATATGCTAACTTTACTCACTAAGAATCAATCTTATCTAGGTGCTAATGTACAAGCAAGACATCCTAATATTTTACCATAAGTACGGTATGCATTTTTGTACCACAAAATCCCCTTTTGGCTCAGTGTGCCACGAATAAAACAAATTATTTCAGAGCTTTATATATATATCTATATTTACTAGATAAAATGTCTCAACTCTTTGAAAACTACAATTGCTTGGGATTATACTATCATGATAGAAAAGTGAAAAAACTTGTTTTGTTGCAGTGATTCACCATTTGTGTAATGGATGATCCATCCCCAATCGCAATCCCAGCAACAAAGCTCACATGCTGGCATGACATGAACAATTCTCTTGTATAAAAATGAGATTTCAATTTCCTGTTGAAGTTGTTACCTGTTTTGATCATTTTGGCATGTAATCCATCACTGAACAGACTTACACAAGTCACAGCTGGGTCTCAGTGCAGACTGCTTTTGTCATAAAGCCCTGTCTTGTTTTAATCAGAAGCCAAGATAAGTTGTGAGTGATAACATTAGTTTCCCTCAAAACATAATAGATGTACAGAAAGCAGGTCGCTTATGAAGGGGTATATTTCAATGAAGGTGCAAGACATATAACAGCGCCCTCATCATGTGACAACCAAATTGATCTCAAAAATAGAGTGTATTATCGTATACAAATCACTAAACATGTATATTTCACTTCCATTATTAATACATGCAATGTACGTCTTACATACTTTTCAAATTCCTTCAAGAATCAAACTCATTGTGCTGTATGGGTCCCATGCAACGTGAACACAGCATGTAAAAAACATTGTTAACACAAAATCTGAACTTTTTTAGTTTGCATTGATATTCAAACACATATTTCAGACAGGTTTCAAATGCTTACACATTGTAATGAAATATCTTGATTCGCAATGTGTAAAAAATCTCTACTGTGTCTTTTTTTTTATAGACACACTCTGTCAGTTCCAGTATCTATGACAATGTATTAATATTCTGAAAGCTTGGATACACGAGAGTAGACCAACATGGGCTAATCAGATTTTTGTTGAACAGTGTGGCACTGTATGATGTTTTTAACAAT